ATCAGAGAGAAAAAGGGTTATTTTATATATTTAAATGCCATTTAACAAAGAAAAATCAACCAAAAAAATGAGTTCGCGTGGCACCTCTGACACGCGTGTCACAGGTTCACCATCACTGCTCTAGATCAAACCGCGGAGGAGTGTACATACCACTCTCCTGATTTAGTGGGAGGGGTTCTCTGGGCACATCCTCCCTCTAACTCCTTCAGCGAGTCCTGGGACTGTGGCACCGGGCCAGGTCCAGCCCCGCACGCCTGGCCCCTGCAGTGAGCTCTGGAGAAAGGCCAGTGACCAGCCCAGGGGAAGGACCAACCCAGAGCCCTTCAAAGTGCAGGCTGTAAGCTGTGGGTGGGCGAGGTCGGCACGGCTAGAAGTCAGACGCAAGGAAGAACTTCCTGGCCCACAGTGAGAACCTGCAGCCCGGGAGGGCAGGTGAGCAGAGCTGTGGCTCAGCAGCCTCCCCTCCCTGTCAGCCTCAGTGGCCCCTGACGGGTGGCCCCGGCTGCCCACAGGTACCACATGGCGTACCTCAGCGATGGCGCCTGGAGCCCGGTTAGGCCGGCGGTGTTCTTCACCACCAAGATGGACGGGACCCTGGACATCTGGGACTTCGTGTTCAAGCAGTGTGACCCCGCCCTCAGCCTGAAGGTCACGCACACCCTCTCCCCATGCAGCCGGGTCAGGGGTGGGGAACCTTTTCCCTGCCAGGGGCCGTTTGAATATTTATAACCTCGTGCACGGGCCAAAATCATCAACTTAACAGTTAGCCTGCTCAGCGTTTAATGAAGGCACCCCGCATGCCTTGGCAGGGCCAGACCAAATGGTTCTGTGGGCCTCCTACAGCCTGCGGGCCAGACATTCCCCACCCTGATCTAGGCCCGCAGGCCCTGGTGGCATGGATGAATGTGAGGCTGAAGGGGGGGTGGGGAGTGTGTGTGGGGGGGAGACGAGGTGGAAGATGAGGTTTGGGAGGGAGTGACAAAGGGCCCTGACAGCCAGTCGCAGAGTGTGCACTTCCTCCTATGGGGCGGGAGCCTCCCCGGAGCCAGAGAATCAGACTGAGGCTCCTCTCTCCGCCTCCACGTGGGCCTGCCTGCCCCGCCTCCCGCAGGTGTGCGATGAGGCCCTCTTCTGCCTCCGGGTGCAGGACAACGGGGGTTTCGTCGCCTGCGGCTCCCAGCTGGGGACGACCACCCTACTGGAGGTCTCGCAGGGGCTGTGCAACCTCCAGAGGAACGAGAAGAACACGGCTTCTTCTGTGAGTGCCCGGTGCCAGGGCCGAGGTGCCCTCCAGCTCCCCTCCCCACCAGGGCCCTGCAGAGCAGGCCAGTCCGAGGGGCACGGATGGCTGCTCCCTCTCACCTCCTGGGAAATGGTGGACATCCTGGGGGGGCCGGGAAATGGGTGCTGGGGTGCTGGGAGCGCTGCGGGTGCTGCGGCTGAGCTCTGTCACTGCGCCTCCCCCTGGCAGGTAGCCCTGGAGGCACTCCGTGGGGCACACGATGCTGCAAACCCCTGGTGCTGGGACCTGGGTGGGCCTCCTGGCTGTGCCTGAGCCTGTGGTCCCACCTCTGAGCTGGTCCTTCATGGGCCCAGGGCCACCATATTGTACAAATCCAGAGGGCGCTCTTCACGCTGTCATCTATGTCCTTAGAACCCCTTAGAATTGAGGAACTCGCTATCCCAGCTCCCACCTTCCGACCCAAATATTTAGCCCTCTGTTCTTTATTATTATTATTATTATTATTATTATTGATTTTAAAGTTTGTATTGGTTCAATAGGGGTACCATAACAAAGGACCAGAGACTGTGTGGCTTCTACAACAGAAAATTATTTTCTC